TATGTATGTAAAACTTATATGTTACACTTTGGGAGATAGGATCACTACAAAATCTATATAAGGAATTCTAAAATATCTATGATATAATAGGCGCACTATAAATACCTAATTAGTTCTATACAAGAATACATAAACATATTATTAGATGATTGCTACGACTTCTATGATCACTATAGTACTTACTATGTTCCAATAAATTTATATCATCTCATAATTAAATGAATCCATAAATCTTATTTTAAGGTCAAACATATTTTTGTTTACGTTTAAAACAAAACAGAGCAGTGTTTGCTTAGTGGCTTCAGTGTGCGACTCTAATCCCTGAGGCCGTAGGTTTGAACCCCGGCAGTGCACCAATGGACTTTCTTTCTATGTGCGCATTTAACATTCGCTCGAACGGTCAAGGAAAACATCGTGAGAAAACCGGCTTGCCTTAGACCCAACAAGTGGCGTGCGTCAGGCACAGGAGGCTGATCACCTACTTGCCTATTACATTGAAAAACTATGATGAAAATTTGAAGACCAGACCTAAAGAGGTTGTAGCGCCACTCATGTATTTATTTTATTAAAACAAAATGATATTTTAAAAACGTTTGAAAAATAATATATTTTTAACTGTGATAACTTTTGAGTAAAAGGTTGAATAACGATTAAATTAAGTATTATGATCTTTAAAACAGGTTGTACTGAATATCCTAAACCTGCGTGATCCGTGTTCCAAATTCAAAATTCCATCGATTGCCAGCAGGGGTGATAAAGCATTGAACTCATAACGCTTAATTTACGAGGACATAAACAGTGCAGTTTAATAAGAGAAATTTTCAAGAAGGGCACACCCGTGACCAGACGATCGTTAAACTTACCCTACAAGTAATAGAAAAATTCTTCACGTACATTGTTACAAATTATTACAAATACACCTTTGCTACCTAAGTTTACACCTACGGTAATTTTTTTACATATAAAACTTACAGCAGGGCCAAATTTTGTTAAATCAAACACTTACATAGCTACACGGCTGTAATTTAAATCGACATTTTTGTTAGATTCCATTACCTTCCATCTATTAGTTTTTTTCTATTAACATGGGAAAGGAGCATTAAGGACAAAAATTCCAATAATCAAGTTTATGGTTTAATATAAACCGTTAGAAAATATTATAAATAAATATAAATTAAATTATTGCTGTGAATCGTTAAATTGCTCTTTTCACATGGACAATGTAAACAAAGTACTGATTTGTATAAATAAATTTATACAAACAACTTTTGTTGAAAAGGCGTGGAAAGTAATGAAAAATACCATTTGCGATGCAAATTTCATTTCACGTTTCTAATTTTCTCGAAGCAGCTGCAGCAGTTAGCCTAGGCTTTAGTATAATGGCAAATTGCGTAGAAAAATATCTTAAGTATTGCAGAAGAAAATATTATTTAAAGTCCTGTTTTATTTGATACAGTACGAAAAGTATTTTCCTTTACTAATTTCTAATTTTCATACACCGCCACGAGTCCTCATAGAGCTTTTAGGCCTTGTCCATCAATAAGTAATAGTTACATTAATTATAAAAGATTTTGAAGTACTTAGAATTTTGAAGGAATTTACTTGTAATCGTGTACAGGAGTGTACATCTCCATAGATAACACTAATCTAATTAAATATTGCATATGTCGGAACTGTGTAAAATAAAACCAAGGATGAATAAAATAAAGGAAGATTTAGAAACCCACCAGTTTAAGAGTACCTACAACCTACATTTGACCAGCATCCAAAGTAACAATCAATTACTTGTTAAGTACATGCACAGTATAGTAGAGTCCGTAGAGTAGGAGAGTCTGAGTTTCATCATCGGACGTCGAGGCAGAATACGAAATTCCACCCGTATCACCTCGACGTCCGACGTTCCACAACTGAGCGTTTTTCAAGGCAGTTTTTGCCGCGCACCACCACTATGTGGAATCAGCTGCCCACTGAAGTATTCCCGAACCAATTCGACTTAGGGTCCTTCAAGAAAAGAGCGTACCAATTCTTAAAAGGCCGGCAACGCACTCGCGAGCCCTCTGGCATTGAGAGTGTCCATGGGCGGCGGTATCACTTAACATCAGGTGAGCCTCCTGCCCGTTTGCCCCCCGTTCTATAAAAAAAGTAACTAATTATCATTATAACGTTGCTGTAGAATGATAACCTCGTATTTCAAAAAACCATTTATTTTTTATTCTTAGACTCTTATGTCATTTAACTGGTTATTTTGTCATTTAATCATGAAGTAAGGACTTATTTATGTTATTAATAAATAAGATTTACCATCCAAAACTATGGACAAAAACACAATAATATTTTAACGAACATTGACGAAATTAATCATTTTTTTTGTTTCCTGTAATGTTTGGTTCTCTAGACATACGTTATCAATCTACAGCGACGATAAAATAATTAGAAAATAATAGTAAGGCACTCACTTTTATTGTTTATAGCTTGCTATACATACACAAAACATACATTAGTCAACTAGACAGTTGTGCTAATATTTGGTTCTAATAACACACAAAGCAAATCTTCATTGTTTGTTGATGGACACATTGTGGCCCTAGTCTCATGCCACTTCTGTTGAAACATAAACACTATTCGTGACAAGAGCCGTCTGTTGACGGAACTCAATTCACAACCGAATTATTTAATTCTAACAATAAAGCTAAAATTCCAATTAATTAAAGAGATTTAATCAAATTTAAAAGTAGTACGTTATCCAAACGTAGTTTTTACAAAATACGTGCTGCAGAAATTGGATTTATAGCTACAAAAGCTTAATATAGTATCGTAGTGAGAAGTCGGATTACCGTGGTGATCCCAAACTAAATTAAAAAAGTAGTATGGTTATTTTCCGAAAGTAATTTATATTACTTGTAATATATCTCTTCTTAACTTATAAATAAATAAAAAAATAAATAACATTAAGAAACTGTATCAAAAACTCTTTCCCATAAATTCATTAAAGAGATTTAAGTAAACTATATTTATAGCAAGCGAGCTACATAAAATTAGATCATTCTGAGCACTTGTGTATGATTAGTATTTAAAAAACTTAACACATCAGCTGTTTCATAGATCCTAATTGGCTAAACATCGCCCTTAGTAACACGAAACTTATCTCCGCTTATCGACAGGAAACACGTTACAAAATGAGGGATGATCTCGACCCAAAAAAATACCGTTAGCTCTTGGCTTTCGAACATAAAACTTGAATAAAATTGCAAGCATTTATTGCTTCAAATCAACGGTTTTATACTCTATAGCCATAAATAAAAATAAAGCTTTACTCGAATCTCGATCAATTTCATTCGTGTGTCAGCAAGGCACAAAATAGCAATAAAAATCAATGAAATATTTTAATAAGTAATTAATATTATATCAAAATTCATATAATGATTAATTTTTAGTAAATAATACTTTCAATTTTCAATTAGATCAACACCTCAGATTATTATAATTGTTTGCGCGATAGCCGAACATTTGAAATTCTATAATGTTGTTATTAAATCTACCTTTAGTATTGATTTATAAGCATAATTTTATTAATTGATATGTAAGAGAGTACTGTTCTTTCACTTATGATTTCTAGTGCAATTACCAAGTGTTGGTACTTCGATAGAACATTTCAAGTGACTACAATCATATTATGTCAATTACGTACCCGCCCATGAAATAATACAGCTACTCAAAAGAGTGTGTGAAAAACCAATGATCGGTAAATGGTAATGATATTTAATTTAATGCAGTGGAATGTATCAAGTTGACATGTACGGCAATCGTGATTCGATCAAAGCATTACCCTTTATGGAAACCTGGCCCATTGTAAAACTACATATTTTCAAGTCTATACGATTTATTCTTTCTTTTACTTTCCGGTTAGATTTTGACAAAATATTATCTATGGACAATGGACATAAATAATATTTTTGTCAAAATCATACCTATTTCGCAGGCACGAAGCTATAATATACATATAAGCTATTCCCCTTAAGTGAAAACATCATATTATTATTATATAATAACGCGTAGAGTTATAATTTAATTAACGAAATTATACATAATATATCCGAGTTAGGTATCTACCATTAAGACGTGAAATGTATTGAATATTACTAAAGAATTAATTGCCAATAAATCGTAAACAATTACAGTTATTTCAGATATTGCTAAGAAAACGAGTTTTCAATTGTAAACACTGTGTTTGTGTTAACATACTAATAAATATAAACATTATTTTTGTTTGAATTTTAATATTACGTTCATTATTTGATAAGGTCGTGAAAAAAATTAAAGATAAAGTTTCTAGCCGCTTCAATAAAATTTAATCTTTTCTAAGAAAGTAACTTAACATATGAACCTACGGGCCCTTACGCTGCTGAAGCAGACAAACAATAGCTTGTTAATCTCGTGAGACTAGTGTGACATCCTTACATTGTCGCTGGTGTTGACCGGAGTCAAGAGGGCTGACATAAGATGTACTGAGACTTTATAATATAAGTGTGAGTTCGGTCTGCTAACGTACGTAGTATTTGTATTGCGTACATAATTTATATTAAACTTATTATAATGGAAGAGTTGAGACTGAAATTATCTCTGAAAAAGAAAATGAGAAACAACCACCATACTAATCAAATTAAATAAAGTGGGTATATCTTCATTTTATACTAAACGTTTTTCAGTTCATTAAAAAAGGTAATTATTAAAAATCTATTGTGAAATATTCGTACAAAACAATTACAGTATTGTAGCTTAATCGTAAAATATTATTGAAATATTTTTCCATAAGCGACATCTACGAAAATCTATGAATAATGAATTTAAGGGTAATAAATTTTACCAACTCGCCATAAAACAGCTTTAAATATCATACTAGATGGCGCTTTAGCAAACTCGCGATATTAACGTATATAATATATATATTATTTATTACACCAAAGGTTGAAAATAATTAATAAAATAATATTTTACATCACTTACCGATTTGCTGTTAATGTTGTCATATCGATGTTATTTCCGCAAACAGTCAAGATATCATCCCCACTGCTGCCACCTGTTATGCGCTGGACGGAACTTATTGCAACATCTTCAGTGGAGTTCTTAGGAGAGTTCGGTACATGGCCGCTAGGTGGCACTATCCTTTGCTTTGAAGCTTGCTTATGTCTGCTTAGTGCGAAAAATAGTGCTAAGACTGCCTTTAGCTTTGCATCCCTTATATCTACAGCGGTAACTTGTTCTAATCCTTGTACTTTTTGGGCATGGAGGAAGTCCAAACAGCACTGCACGTTCTCCAACTGAAAAGAAGAAATATAACTTTATTGCTTGAATAATAATTACACTACGTGTAAAGGTTACATTATTTAGACCGAATCAAAAGAAATAATCACATTCTTGAAAGGCAAATTCACTAAAGAAGAATATATATTATTTTCATTTATATATATTAGACTTTATTTTGATGCTTTTGCATACCTGATGTAAATAAGTAATAATTAATTGCGTAATCGTTTTCATACATATTTCGAGTAAAGTTTAGTTGGCTAAAAATTTAATCTGACCTTTTCAATAATTAAAACTAATATTACGTTATGTTTATAACAAGCAGTGCATATTTAAAATGTATATCAATTCGATTGAACTCGTTTAAAATGTAATGCACATAGCTCTTATCTGATACAAAAACTGATTTTGGAGGGACAATGAAAATCGCATCGTACTTAAATGGAAAGTAATTCGGCTCCAAAAACGGTCGGTGTGCAAGAAACGCAATACGAATATCAAACAAATTAACATTTTACGTGCGTGCCATTGTGCGCGCGCGCAATGTCGCGAAAATATTTTCATACTGAAACAATTGACACTTTTTGCAAACAATAATTGTTTGTTGAAATACAGAGAGTTCCTGTTCCTACAATAATCAGACTTACAAGTATTATGGAGTTTATACTTACAAAAATCATCCTACACTTTCTAATTTCGTCATTTTGACAACTAATTATTAGGAATAAATACCGTAAATTTTTGTTTAATTATCAGTAAATTTTTGGTCTATTGCAACTAACATTGAATAATATAATTAAACTGAAGACAAAGAAGAAAATAATTGAGACCTATTTAATAAACCGATTAATATATTAATTTACCTTCTTTACTAAACCTAAGTCTAATTATGATTAATTGATTAAATAAACTAAAATTATTATTTCAACAACTAAAGATGACTAAATATAAAAAACAAGGAAAAATCATTCTAGTGTTGCTAACATAAATATTTTTATCTAGGTACTGTCAGGACGTGTTTTTCTAATCACGAATGTAAAACTGGTTTTTTTTTTATTTTCTGTCTAATATTTAACGCATACATTTCTAAAATTATTATTATTTTCATTTCGGTACAATACAAAATTTATGTGAGTTTTGATATTTTGAATTTTCATAAGTCGTTATTTTATGTCTATGGTAAGTTTAAGTTTAACATAATCTGTTGCCGCGGCAAACGATTTTGTTTCGCGGCAAACGATTTTGCCGCGCTAATTTGTGGATTTTTATATTAATATGAATATGAAAAGTTAATGTAATGAAATTTATTTAGTTCAGTACTAAATACAGTTACGAAGTTGCTGATGGATAAAAAGGGGGACCAAAATATCCTGATTCCCAAATATCTTTATATAAAAATAAACAAAGCAGTGCATTATAGGATACCTTCGTTTTTATAATATTAGGACACTGTATGGTCCTCGGGTTGAGGGGTATTAACCTGTCTCCTATAAACGATTAAACTGTTAATAAATGAATAAAATTTTACTTAATATGCCGATAACTATATTATTAAGTAACTCCAAGGATTCACACATTCGCAGCGCCTAAAAAACAAGTAAATGCCCGTCTGCTCAGAAACGTACAGCGTTGGCTCATAGAGTGGCTTAAACAAAGGTGTCACCGACACATTTAGTAGTGGTACATCCAACGAGCAGTGTGAATAACAACAATTCCAGTATATGATAATGGTTTTAATATTAACAACAGTGCGCATCGGCTCTTTCGTAAGAGCAACAGCTGGCGTCGGCCCTTAAAAGGATTGTCTACATCTCATAGGTCACCAGTGCAAGGCATTGTGATATCCTTTGATTGTTATTCTCATTTACTGTGATTTATAAACAGGTCAAAACAGAATAGAGAACAGAGAGATAACTAAGCCGAATGCTTAATACTTTGAATGGTAATGGTGAAGTAACAAGTTTTATAGAAAACTATGAAAACGAGATCTCAGAATCATTTTGATCCATACGGATACTTGATATCAGTATCGTAATGCCAACGGTGCAGTCATATAGTTGTATTTTGTTTCTGTACAATTCTTGATACGTAAGCATAAATGTTCTTTTCAAAAGAAAAACTGCAATATTTATCGTAATTTGATACCTGAGATAAAAATGGGAAAGCATTCGTGTAAATTACGTGTATGCAAGTCTGCGAATTTGGGCAAGGACGAATCGGTTAATTTTATTACTTGTTATGATTTTCATTGCCAATGAACATTTAAGAGTAATTGTTAAGTGCCAACTTCTTTAATGCTTATTTTATTGTCACCACGATATTTTTCCATGTATCAACATTGTGCAATCTTTATGCAATAAACATATTTTGTTTACACAAAAATCTATGCCTAACTAATATAAATAACATAATATATGTATCTATATATTAGTCACACACAGAAAATCACTTATACCTTCATGCTAAAGAAATTACCCAGCGGAAATAAAATTTGTTTTCAACATGCAATACATTAAATGTTACAAATTATTTCTAAGACTATTTTGTTTATTTATGGTTTAGGATCTGGTGAGGAGTCAGTTGAAGATTTTTGAGATAAAATCAACAATATCTGGAACAGTCAGTAGGTTCTAGTTCTGTACTACAAACCAATAGTGCTATTTTTCAGCTTAACCTAAGTTTTTTTGCTATTTTATTACAAACTACAATAATTTGATACTTGAGGTAGGTTCGTACGAACGTAAGGTACGGTTCGAACTTTCCCACACTTTATAATATTTTAAACTATAAATAAATAAAGTATCAAATTCGACCAATTGTTGTAAATTTAAATCCAGTGTGTCGGAGTGGAAGCACGTAGCACGCGCGATCTTGATCGCGAGAACCTTCGGTAAGGTACTACGGAGTAATAAAAACTTTATGGTACGATAAAAATGTGTTACCGCCAATTATTATTAAAACAACAACAAAACAAAATTCAATTATCCATATGAATTACAGGTACACTCATATGATATGTACCCCACCGATTTTTAAATATCTTCGAGCTATGAAATCTACGTTCTAATCCAGAGTATAATTTATCTCCCGAATTTTTTAGTACTCCGGGTAGATTAGTATTAAAATAAAAAGGTAACTTAAGGCCTTTTAACCGCTTATTTAGAAGTAAGAAAAGAATAATTATCCTAACTCGTGTTTATCAGTGGCAAGACCAAGTTTATGCCGAATATTTCACACTACCTGTATCACTTTTGTTAAATTCTAATTTTTACGTTTTCCCATAGTCTCTTATTTTTATTTAGGGTTTTGTGGTGTAATGAATGTTGAGGTGTTCAAAATGAATTAATATTAACTGTACTTTTTGAATTTCCTAGGACTCACATGGTATACAAATTCTAAGTATTTCAAGACGATGCTTCTAAAGTGGAAATTCAGTTACTTGGGCCCACGATAAATTACAAGCCCATTAACAAGAAATTACTCGTTAAGTACCAGATAAAGCACGTTTAATGTCAATGAATTACTATGTTACTGTTTTATGCTTTTATTATATATAAACTTTATATATGTATTAGAAAAATAATTTGGTTCATATTAAAAAGCGCTTTTAATTTTTTCAGTCCACTGTTTTAACCATATAAAAAATATTATTTTTGGTTTCTAAACCTCTATATTTTTCATAGATCTACAGGAGGTATATACATAGCTAATTACTTTACTATGCCCGAGAAAATCTATTTTGTTATTAAATCCCTTTCTTGATGACATTTACCAAACAAAATTGAAATGGTTTTTTAAATGAATGACATCCTTATAACTTACTATAAAAAAAAACAATAACTAACCTTAAAATATAATAACTAAAATATATTATTAAAAAGTATATAATATATTTGTCGTCCATTATAGAATAACATCGATGTTTTATTTTAATGTTTGTTATTAGACTTATAGATTTATTTGTTGATGTTGAAGTTTGCTTTACAATAAAATGTCATCATCGATTTTTATTCAAAACGATTCCCTAAATATGTTTGTTGAATTTTAAATAGTGTGCCTCGACCTACATCCACTGGACCGCCGTGACCACTTAGCTTTCAAGTTTCAGGGTTTATTACTTCTCTTTACAAAACTTTTAACGCCAGCTGATATATGTATTAATAAAATATGCAACAGTTTATTTAATTTGTATAGCGCAAATATTCCTACATTCGACCGTCAAGTGTCAACGAAGCAACAGTATGAAGAGTTAAATTACTAAATAATTATACATTTATATTATTCAGGCAACTGCAAAAACACATGCCTGTTTTCAAGGTGCATGACACTGATTCATTGAATCAACGGAATGAAGATAAGTACAGACTGAAAGTACATAAATATTTAACAGAAATTGCCAAGTACGAACTTGTACCACCAAATATGAAATATCGAGTGAACGGTAATTTTAATAAACGCGATTGTATCATGTTTAAGGTAGATTGGTAAATTAATAAACTGCACTTTAATTGATATTTTGTATATATTTGAATTATAGAATCTGCATATTCTCAAATCTATTTGAAATCAGACAAAATATTTTGTCAAAGTCCAGCCAGTCGCTGTCCAGCAGTCCGGCTGTTTAGGAGTGGAATTACAACACACGCACAGAAGATATACATATATGTATTATTATTATAATATTGTTAACGTCTATCGAGTTTCTACGTTTTGAATTTAATCATCGGCGCTTGTCAAAGTAAGTCATCGCCAGCGGATATGTACAACCTTAGACTGTCAAAAAAAACCGTGTACAATTCAATATTTGTAACATCTACAACCTTTACTTATACTTACTAACGAGAAAATATGTGATCAACTTAATAGAACCACCGAATAATATTATTTAATACGGAAATTGGAAACATGGATTAGTTTTATAATTAAATGGTATTTGATTGAGTAAAATGTGTTACTATATGGTCCTAGATATATTTTAATTCACATGTTCTCTCTTTTTACAAGATGGTAGCGA